AGAACTATTTGTGTAGATTTCAAATGTATCCCTTCTTAGAAATGAAGAGGCACCTACTTTGGTTTTATGGACTACACATCTGTCAAAGTTAAGCATGATGAAAAGGAAGGCTGGAGATTGAATCAAAACATGGGGCAAGATCTTCTCTGGTCCTCTGGCCATTGATCTTTGTAGATCTACCAAAAGTTCCTGGTGAGAATATGACCCTGAACCTGTTCTCAGGTTTTGCCTCTGGGCAACCCAGAAATTTTAGCCCCCTAGGGAAGACCAAATATTTTTGTTAGCATCAACTACGTAGTAACTATAAGTTTTGAATCATGAGTAAACAAAAAAATGGTTTTCACGAGGGCAATTTAGAAAAAAAAACAGGTAGATACCAGAAAATTTTTAAAGTTACTACTAATCTAAAATGAAAATTTAATATTCAGTGATAAAATACTGCACACATATTACATTTTCAGTTTCTTTTCTTGTGTTTTAAACCATGTTTGTTGACAGCAAAATATAAACATCAAGTCAGAAATTTAGCCATCAGGTAATGATTTATTAGAATGTGGGGTATCTACTGGAGAAAATACACTACAGCGGTTAAACATTAAGAAGACCATTTAATAGGCCTGAGAAATGTTTTTAATATAAACCAAAAAGAAAGAGCTGGAATACATGACTGTAATATATTATGTTTTCAATTATGTGAAAAATATGGATGCTTACAGAAAAAAGATTAAAGGATTATAGTTAATATAATCCTGTTATATTATAGCTAATATAATATAGCTGTTCTAGGGTCTGAGACTGAGTTATAATTTTTTTTAATGTACTTTCTTCCAAAATGTTACTTTATTATTATTAAAGCTTAATAACAAGCTCTTTTTTAAAAAGACACTTAAAAGTATGTTTATTTGCTGTTTTAATATGCCTTTGTCCAAAAGGCACTCAGTTTTTAAATTGCCTTTGTCCAAAAACAATTATTTTTTAAGAACAATAGATGAAATCGAATGTCCTTATTCTTCCTAGAGACGAGTTATGTCAATTTTATCAAGTAAACTAATATTAAAATTAATATTACCAGTTTTTAGCTTTGGCTAGGTAATAAAATTATACATGTCAGATATTATTTAAAGCACAAAAAGTCCAAGTAAGAAAAGGGTACCTGTAAAGTAGAAACATTTATTAAATAAAACAAATTAAATTCTCAAATTTCCTCCATGAATTGGTTTTATTACGATTAGACTGAATTTTTAAAATTTAGTACTTGACAGTAGGTCTTTTAGAGTTTTAACTGTGAAATGGACTTTGAGGAAAGAATTATATGTTTGGCTTCATTATAAACTATTATCTATTTGACGAGTAAGTATTTGAGAGAAAATTATCCTGACCAAGAAATATTAGGGAAAATTAAGGACTATTAAATGAAAAGAAAGGAAATATAACTCCAAAGGGTAAGGAACAAGAAAAACTGGAAGGGAAAAAAATTAAAGATTTTAACTGGCCTGGAGATTTAGATTCCATTTAATTCTGCTGGATTATCATTTCTGTTGTCAGTCTATAATCTTAAATGAACTAGTTCCTTAGTCTCAACACTATTTGACAACCTAACATTTAGTAGAGGTAAAATTTCTTTGATTTGCTGTAGACAGAATTCTGATGAGACAGCCAATACTTCTCTTTCTTGGGCTGCCTTTTACCTACTTCCCTCTGCATTTTGAAGAACCCCTATATTCTATTTTGCAATCCCAGGAAACCTTTCCCCACTTTCTATCCTTGTCTTGTTATGTTTTTGCACGTTAGGACAACATCCAGTATTCCTTCCTTTTATTTCTAATTAACTCATGAGTGTCCAGTGAAAATTAAGAAAGTCTTCAATTGCATTAAAAGTTGTAAAATTTAAAATTATGCCCTCATGCTAGCTCATGTTACTGATGGAGGGTGTCCAAGTTCTTGATCAAATAATTGGGCAAAATGCACAGAGCAAGGAAAGAATGACGTAACAAAAGCAGAGGTTTACTGAAAATGAAAGTACACTCCATAGGGTGGGAGCCAACTGAGCTTAAGGGCTCAAGAGCCTGGTTACAGAATTTTCTGGGGTTTAAATAACCTCTAGGGGTTTCCCACTGATTACTTGGTATACATACTATGTATATTAAGTAGTGGTCCACTGTCAGTCTGATTGGTTGCAGGAGCGGACCAATCAGAGGCTGAAGTGAAGTTACAAAGTTACACCCTATGCAAATGAAGACTTTGCCCACGACCAGCCTGACTAGTTGTGGTTGTGGAAGGGGACCAATCAGAGGTATTTTCAATCTTTCATCTGCCAAATGCAGAAAAAGGTGGGGGGGTGAAGGGGGTACAAAGGGAGTAGCTTCTCATCCTTTTGTTACTTGGGCATGGAAAGTTGGGGTTTTCCATTTTAGTTAGTTCTAGGAAGTTGGCATAAATCAGCCTTAGGCTCCCTACCTCCAAACACTATTCTCCTGCCTCACCCATTCCCAGTTTTCTTTTATAAATGACCTGTCACATTATAGTGAAAGTCATCTAGCCAGGCATGGTGGTTCATACCTATAATCCCCGTACTTTAGGAGGCCAAGCTGGCAGATCACTTCAGTCCAGGAGTTTGAGACCAGCCTGGGCAATATAGCAAACTGCTATCTCTACAAAAAATACAAAAAAATGTAGTTGGGTGTGGTGAGGTGAAAGAATTGCTTGAGCCCGGGAGGCAGAGGTTGCAGTGAGATCGCACCACTGCACTCCAGCCTGGGTGACAGGGTGATACTGTCTCAAAAAAAGAAAAACAAAACAAAACAAAGCAAGAGAAAATAAAAATAGTCATTTTCCTTTGAAGCAACTCATGAAAATATTCAGAGAACAGAGGACACTCAACGTAGGAATTTATACCAAAGGAAAGTTGTTTAGTAATATACTAAGTATATTACTAAAATATATGCCTCATACTAAAAGCATATCACAAATACAGTAAGCAAGCGTCACTCTTTCTCAGCATAAGATCAGGCCATGCCACAGTTGGAGGCTTGGTAATCCTTGGATAGGAAAAGCAATAGAAAAATTGATAAACACTTTTGTTCCCTATAAAATAGTATTAAATTACATTACAATTAAAGTAGCAATGAATATAGTGAACTTTACTTGGCCTGTATTTTCACTATAGCACTCTTACATCATTATATATTTTAATTGTGTTTTAGAGATTTTCTTAACCCGATTTACAGATTGGCTCGTTTAATGAACCTGTAAAACTGCACATTGGTGGCCTAGGGAAATGGTCCTTCTAAAAGAGTTTGCCTTTCATTTCAAGCAGCAACTGCTACTCTAGAGGAGATCAGTCAATTGGCGTGTTTTCTTTTCACTCATAGTTTTGGGTGTTAGAGCTCATGCAAAGTGCCTTTGTATTTTGGTTCACTGACTTAAGGTGCTCTGTGACTTCAACTTATAAATAACAAATGTAGACCTTGTTTTGTGATTGAAATGAGGGGCAGGTCTAGCTGACCCTTTTGATCCTCAAGCCCCTAGTGGTATGGATGATATTCATAACCTTTTTCAGCCTCATCCTGCCTGTGCTTTTTGAAGTAAACTATAATGTGTTGACATCCATGACCTGTTCTTTGCTAGCCATTCTTCAGCTCTAATGGACTTTGCTTATTCACAGAGGATGACACCTCTCTTGAACTCTGTCTCATTTCATTTCTTTTCCTTTTCGGATATCTCTCAGTTTTTCCCCAGCATGTTCTAAATCATTTTTGAACACCATAAATCTCTAATGTAGGAGATATTCCTAGTACCAAGGAATTTTGCTTTAAATTTGGTTTAATTGTGCTTTCGTGCTTTCCCCACTCCATAATAGTTTTAATGGCTCCAGATGAATGTTTGTAAGCCAGTCTATCTTAACTTTTATTACATTTCATACATTGTTTCCTAAAAAGGGATGAAACATTTTCATCTGTATGTATAAACAAGATGTAATTTTACAAATTAATCTATTATAGAAGTTGTTTAATTTTCTTCCCATTCTAGTTTCTCATTTCTGACTTTCATATTAGACTGTATTTACTGACGGTTTTAAAGTAATTATAAGAATGTAATCCAGTATTTCCCTCTGTCACAATAAAATAGGTAACAATTATAATTCTAAGTCAATAATACTATTTTCTTTACAGTGAATAACGTAATTACATGTCTGGCTCACTGGAAAATAGTCATGAAAATGAGTAAATGTATCCCAGTATTTTTTCATTGACCTTCAAATGTGCTGTCATGTAAAAATTTGTCATATATGTGAATGCAGTATAAATAATATGAAGCATTTGAATCTATTAATTACATATTTTTATAAATGAGTTTTGTCTTCATGCTAGCTCCGTGTCATTCAAACTGTCTCCTTTTATCTGCAATCAGAGGAGCCTTTTGTTACTGAAAAGATTCTTAGAGTGAGCTGAAGCACCATATTGACCTGTCTCTCACAGCTGTTTTCTTTAAGCTAGTTTTACTTTTTTTTTCTTTCTGGGCTATTTACTGATTGAACAGTAATTTCATTTTTTTTTTGTTCCTGTTCTGCAAGATCTTTTCCTCTTTTAAACTAATGTGCTAATAAGTGTTTGATATGTAAGAGGAATATTTCTGTCCATAAGAAGTATAAATCTGTTTTACCAAGCAAAAAAATATATTTAGGAATGAAGGTCAGCATAATTTCAACAAATTGCATGGTACTTTTGGAGCAAAGCTCCTGGTCCTTTCATTCCTTACAAATGAGTTCCTCTTAGAGGTCACACTCTAAAGCCCAGGAAGCATAGACTATATTAGCATCCTATTTTCTTAGTGGAAATTACATCTGCCAATACATATCTACATCTGAATATTAGAGAACAACAGCAAAAAGAAAATATTTATTGAAATTTTCTACCAGGCTATCCTGTTAATCATTTCACATATTTGATAGAACTCTTGGACATCAAACCAACTCTCAGTCCCATTTGTGTTTTGTAAAGGTTATTTGATTACCACGGGCGTGTGCCTCCACCTCCCCGTGCAGTAATTCCACTGAAGCGCCCCAGAGTGGCAGTCACAACAACTCGCAGAGGGAAAGGAGTCTTTTCCATGAAAGGTGGATCGAGATCTGCTGCCAGTGGGTCAACAGGCTCTAAATGTAAGTAATGTCCTTCATTTTATTTCTAGTTAAAGAAGGGTGTGGTTAACTATCATTGCACAAATGCCTATATTCAGTAATTTAACTGGATAGTTATTAAGTGCCTGCTATGTATGAACTATTAGAAAAATCATAAAATAGATAAGAAATGGTCTCTGCTTTCCACCATACTGTGTTGCAGTAGGGGAGACAAACAAACATGTCTAACAAAAACCCAGGACCAATTTGAAAAGTATTTTATAGAGCAAATAACACTGTGCTCTAGGCTGAGATTGTGTCATATTAAAGTCTTAAAATATAATATGATGCTTTTAATGAAGAAATAATTTTACTTCCAAAGGGAGTGCATAAACTGTCTTTTCAGAGAAACATGCAAAATTAGTTCATGTTTTGAATGTTTTAGCAATTAAGTGAGGCAAACTATAGAGGCATTAAAATCATAATTTTCCATACTATGATAAATTATTATGAGATATATGTATCTGAAGATATATTTAAAGTCATAAAAAATAATATTTGCATCGTTTCACATTAATTAGTAAAAAGCAGCAATACAAACTTTCCAACTAAACATTGCTAAATTTTTATGTGGAGTGATTAGGAAAAAATTTAATTTGTTGTCAGAATATTATTCCTAAGGAAAGGGTAACAAAATTTCCTATATTCCTTGAGATTGCCTTTTATCAGAAAGGAAACAGATAATAAGCTGTTCAATAGGTAAAAGAATAAACACATAGAGAAAGTTGGGAACACTATATTTAATTGATTGAGGTGACATTTGACTAGAAGCCTAAAGAATGTGAGGAAAAGAGAAAGTGAGCCTGAAACTGTCGGGAACAGAGAATTCTATGGACAGAGAATGCTCAGTGCAGAGTCCTTAAGTTGAATAATCAAGGAACAATAATTGGAAGGCAGTGCAGCTGCAACAGAGGCAGAAAGGGAAAGTCTAGCTAGGGATAAAGTCAGAGAGTTAGACATATGACAAGTTCCAATGTAGCTTGGGAAGCCACTGTAAGGACTTGGATTTACTCTGCAACCCAACCATTTAAGACAAGTAAGCAAATACTATTATCCCAGTTTTATTAATGAGTAAACACAGAAAGTCATATAGCTGATAGAGCAGAGCCAGAAGCAGAACCTAGGTCTCTTAGCTCTTATACCTATGTGCTATCTACTGTAAAACACTGCTTTTTATTTCAGCACTATACTAACAAAGAATTGCTATTGAAATACTTTGATTTTACACAAGAGCATGAAAAAAATAGTTCAACATGCAGGAAGGTACTGATGCTTCTGAAAAAGCTGAAGTTTGGCGTACTCAACAAGCTTTGTGGACCTAAGATAACTTCAATAGCACACTAAATATATTTATGGATTTCTATGTAATTATGTATTCATGTATCTATTCCGTAGATAGATAAATACAAATTCCTTTTCGTGTCTTAGTAATAAAAGAAAAGGAGTTCCTGCAGCAACTTGTTGGATGTTGGGTCATCCCAATATGGAGTATGCACAAGATTTTATCTCTCAAAAGTCTTCAAGCGTTTAAAATTTCAGTGACTTGTTTCTTACATTGGAATAAATAAACAATGAAGTGGTTTTTATAGAAACACAAATTGCCACAGTCAGCTACCTGGAGAAATAATGTGAAGAGACTTTACAGTTTGTAACCATTACAACATGTAACATAAGAATCTATTCTTAAGTGCAATGGTAAATCACACATGAGATTTAATTCTATCTTTTCTTTCTGGTTTTTTTTTTGGGGGGGGTGGTGGGCAGTGATAAGATGTAATAGTCTTGAGAAACGGCTAAATCTGAAAATTGGACTACTAAATACAAACCAGAGATGCTTTGAAAGAAATATCGTGTGTTTTATTTTTTAGCAGCAATCATTCTTTGGAACTGTGAATCCTAGAGTATCTTTGTTACTCTGAAAGGCGTAAATAAGCAATAGGTAGAAAAATAAATTTTGGGATATAAAGATTTTGTAATGATAATCAAGACAAATGATCATTTAAAATCTATTCAACATATTATAATTGTGTTAATTTTACTTAAGTTTTTTAAGTGATACATCTTTATTATATTAAGCTTAAATCAAAAGGAAATATTTCAAATAAAACACTGTGGAAAATCACTTTAAAAGATTTATCATGAGGATTAAATCTAAGCTTGGAGGTAGAACAGTCATGTGGCTGCCAGTATCAATAAGACAGCTCTAAGGGATTACTGCAGAGAGACAAGCAAGCCATAGGCTATAGGTACAACCCCAATAAGATACCTGAGTTGGGGAGGTTGGCAGGCCTGGTTTACATAGTAGAGAAGGGGGCCCCTGGGCCTACTCCAAGGCAGCCGTGCAGCAGAGTTTCTGTGTAGTGGTCAACATCAATGGTCAGAGATTACCTAGAAACAGGGGCAGCCAGCCATGATGTACTTGAGCATGATACCAGCCCCCTGTTATCATAGAAAGACAACAGACTGATCAATTCTATTCATTTCATATAGTTCTATACATTTAGAGCTCAAGTCACAAAAGTTAACTATTGATTAGTGTTATTTTAGTGAAACAGTAATAAAAAATATCTATAATTCACTGGCAAGCATAACTAGAATCATGATTTAATATTCTTTTTAAGAGCATATTGGCAGATTATATTATGTATACATATATGTACATAAAATATATATGTGCATGTATAAATATCCATTAATTGGTATTACTTTTTACAATTAGGTTGCTTCCTGGAAATAACAAAAATTTCAAACTCAAATCACAAATGAAAAAGTTCAGTAAAGTTTAAAATATAGTATGTTAATATTGATATAATCTGAATAAAGGCTTACTAAGGTATATATCTTACTCTTTTATTAATAGCTGTTTGCCAGTATTAATGGTATGGCAAGTTCAGAAGAGGAAATTAATGTTATAGCTTGGATAATTTTCATTTCTTATTTCATAATTTGTAATATTATTGAATTCTGCTGAGAACTATATAAAGAAAAATATATTCATGTGGTAATTTACCAAAGTTGAATACTGATAAGCATTTTAAATGGATTGCTTTAAATAAGTAGATTGCCACTAGGTATTTCTGTCCCTTTTCAAACCAAATTGAACTAAAACTCTAATCAACTTTCCTGTCCTGACATCGTAGAGTCATAAAATAAAGAAAATGTGATATTGCAGATTGACATTTTATAAAAGAGAAAACATGAATATCAGTGAGCTTTAGCTGTAGTTTCTAAGAGGAAAAATTGGTGCCCTCTGGAAAAAATATGCTATCAAATCAATTTCTTTAAAGAATTAATTTAAATTCTAATATCTAACAATAAAGACTCTAGTAAGTTTGAATGCCTTTGGGGACCTGTCAATGAACTTTCAGTGACAGAATAGGTGACAAACTAATATCAATGCCCTAAAGCATCAAACAGGAAATTAAAGACAGTTCAATTAAAGTCAAAATTGAGAAATTATCCCCAGTGCTAAGAAAGCTTTCTTATGTTGGGTCCCTCCCCTCAAAAGCATGTGACTGAAATACAGAGATAAACCATCAACCAGAGAAATAATATTAATACTCAGCAACATATCATTAAATATTCCCATCCATCCATCCATTATCCTAGGCAAAATACATTCTGCTTTAGACATTTTAAAGCGAGAAAGTACCATTGGCTGGAGAGGTTAGAGAAGACTTAATAGAGAATTTTGAATTGAGTTTAGAAGAACCAGTGGATTCGAAAAGACAAAATGAGAGAGACTTGCTTTCTGGGAGGCAGGATGTGGGTCAAGAAGAACAGAGACTTTGTTGTCAGATGCCTGGGGTGGAGTCTGTTCCACAGCATACTACCACGGTAGCCTTGGGGAAATCCTTTAACATCTATATACGTCTAATTTCTGTCTGGAAATTGAAAATAATATACTGTGTATCCAACAGTGATTTTAAGAATTAAACTACTTATGTATATAAAATACTTAGGCACAGAGTAATGTTTAATGAGTTTAATTATTGCTACCACTACTATTATTATAGCAGCTAAGAACATGGAATATAAAGCTGCTGCACCTATAAACCAATAGTGCCTCAGCCATTTATTATCTGTCCCTTAGTTTCCTCATCTATAAAATGGGAATGATAAGCTTACTGCCTTCTCTGTGGAGTTGTTGTGAGGACTAAATGAGCTGGCACATGTAGAGCCCTTAGAACAGTGTCAGCTATTATAAAAGTCTTAATAGATAATAAACTATAATGGTAAAAATATATGAAGTAAATATTTATTGCTAGAAATGTCAGTTAATAAACTGAGGACATTATGGTTAAAGAAGATGTAAAAATGGGTAAAAGAATAATGAAAAACTGTGCAGAATATTGAAGAGTTTGGATTTCATGCAGGAGCAAGATAAACTCTCAGCAAAGTGCTACGTGCTCAAAATGATATTTTAGGAAATGTATATGATGAGTGTCATTAGTTGGCGAGGACTGCCAGAACAAAGTACCGCAGTCTGGGGGGCTTAAACAACAGAAATTTATTTTCTCACAATGATGGAGGCTGGAAGTTGGAGATCAAAGTGTCAGAAGGCTTGGTTCCTTCTGATGGCTGTGAGGTAAGGATCTGTGTCAATCCTCTCTCCTTGACAGGTTGATGACCATCAACTCCCCATGTCTTCACACCATCTTCCCTCTGTGTGTGTCTTGTCTAATAAATTTCCTCTTCTTATAAGAACAAGTTTAGACCCCTCTATGTTACAAGGGCAGCACCAGTCCTCTAACTTCAGGCCAGTTGTTTATTTTATTATGGGATTTACACTCTTCTGCTTCATGTCATAGTTATTTGTATGCACATCTAATCTACTTTTAATTACAAATTCAAGTTAATTATGCTTTACGTGAGATCACTATTATTTTTGCTTTTTGCATTTGGCTTTTTGTCATACCTTTTATATTTGACTTGGAGCCACATCTGTAGAAATGCTACAGCTCAGAGAAAATTAGTTACAGAAGATGTTGCATCAGTCAGTGAAACAAGGAGACAAATTCTGGCCTACACTCCAGGGTCCAAAAGAAATCAGTGTAACATGTATTTTCAAACTACATGATTTGAGATCTACTACTTCTATTACTTACAAGGCTGTTTTTGCTTGCTAAAATCTAAATTATCTTTTGTTATAACTCAAAGACCTATTCTTTTATGACTATTTTCTCAATCACTTATCATCAAAGCTAATTTATCTTTTCTCTTTGCCCACATACTTGACACAAGTTCAATTAATCAGCATCTATCACAGACAGACACCTGGTACTAATTTTCCATCAATGAAATAGACATGACCCATGAGGAACTGATACTCCATAGACAAAATAGACATGATCTTTCATTTTCAGGCTCTTACAATCTGGTTGGAAGCAGGAGGAACCAAAAAATTTAAAAATGGGAGATAATTTCATTACCAAGTCACAGAAGATTTTCACTACTTCTCATTTTTTTTGTGTATTTTATGTTCTATATATAATAAATTACTTATATATTTATTTTTGATCACTAGTTATAGAGTCCATGAGAGCAGGGAGACACTTCACTATGATGAGAAGCTCATGATGGGCACTGGGGATAGCGGGGTAGCACCTAAACACCCGTGGCTTTGGAGTCAGGCAGCCCACTCTAAACTTGAATTGTTGCCTCTTTGCGAAAGCAATCTTCTTTTAAGAACATTTTTTTTTTAAATTTTTAGCAACAGGGTATCACTCTATCACCCAGGCTGGAATGCAGTGGCATGAACGCATAGCTCACTGTAACCTCAAACTCCTACACTCAAGCTAGCTCCTCTCACCTCAGCCTCCTGAGGTGCTAGGAATACAGACATGCACCACCATGCCTGGCTTATTTTCTTATTTTTTGTGTGTGGAGATGGGGATCTCAGCATGTTGCCCAAGCTGATCTCAAATTCCTGGCTCAAGCAGTTCTCCTGCCTCAGACTCCCAAAGCCCTCGCATTATAGGCTGAGCCATTAGGCCCAGCCTGCTAAGCAATCTTAAACACATGACTTAACTTCTCTAATATTCACCATTCAAATCCAAAAGTAAGTTTAACAATTCTGATTTGTATATTTGGAATAAATGAAATGATATACATGCAGTTTCTAATGAAATGCAAGATGAACAGATGCAGACAATAGGCATTTAATGAATACTTATTGAATAAAATCCACCCATTCTCCATTTTATTTAAAAAAAAAAAAAAAAAAAAAAAGAATGGGTATAGCTGTATGTAGGCATAGGTATTATGAATACATACTATATATGCATATATATGTAATTCCCTATTCTAGGAAATTTTATCTATGGGGTGGGTAACAACCAGTTGCTCCAATTTGTTTTAGCAAAATATCTTAAAGTTTGGCTTTTGAAAATTATTTCCGAGACTAACAAATTAGCCTTGTCATATTAAATTAGCTTAGAATTTGTATTATATGTTATGTTACAAGGGTATCACCTGTCCTGTAACTTCAGGCCAGTTGTTCATTTTCTTATTATTGGGGCTTTTCGTATATATAAACAGAGACAGATAAAAGCAGAGCAGATGCATTGAAGTGATCACGATAAAGATTTCTAGAAACCTTCCTTTTCTTTTCCTGAATATTATTGAATTAAACACAGTGGTTCCTTAATTCATAGTGAAGGAAAGAACTGAAACTGACAATCGTATTTTTCACATCAACTGAAGCTGCATGGCGCAATAAAAAGTGTAGAATTAAAATTAAGAAAATCTAGGTTTGAGCCTGAACTCTTATGTGGGTATATCATGTAATTTTGGGAAAATCACATTCATCTTTAGATTCTCAGGTTCTTTAACATTGAAATACTGTACTTAAAAGTGATTTATATAAGTGCTATGCAAATTATATTTATTTATTTTTGACATTCAAATAATGTATTAATTGATGGGGAAAATAAATAACATAATGTGATTTATTGTCAAAGTCCACATGATTACAAACATTTTTTCAGTTATCTGGATATTTGATAGGAAGCATAATATTGGTAAGGGAGGTTACATAGTTATCTAGAGCAGAATTTCTATAGTTTGGCATGATCAGCATTTTGGGTTAGATAACTCTGTGGAGTGGTGTGGGCTATCCTGTGCATTGTAGGATGCTGAGCAAACTAAATGCCCATTAGAAGCCAGTAGCACTACCCTCTCCAGGTCATAACAAGCAAAAATGTCTCTCCAGACTCAAGAAGTAGCCAAGACTATTTGTAGAGTCTGCTTTGCAGGACCCTAGATGAACATTTGCTGCTCCCCACTGTAAGAGAGGAATTGAGCACCCTGCATAGGGTTAGAAACTCACTTCAACATTTCCTAGTAGGGTCCAGGAAAGAACTGACAGGATCTCTCTGGATTTCCATGTTACATTTATTTGAGCATCGTTTCTTGAACAACATTAGCCTATTAGACCCAAATTATATAATAATCCAGCTGTGATCTGAAAAATGTTCTTACAGAGCTAGACATGAGTCTAGACTTAAACAAAACCTTGGCTCCCTGGAGACTTCTAAGTTCTGGTCAGATGAGTCTATATTTCTAATTGTTTTCTAATGTAGTTTCTATAAAGTGGAGTAGCGGTGGTTTATTGGTTTATGTTTTTTTAAGGCAATACATAAATTTAAATTAGTCAACTGCATTCCTGGGCTAAGGAGTAGCTCTAGTTGCTAAGAAATATATTGTTAGTTTTCAGCCATAGTCCTATTTCTTCTGCACTGAAATGTAATAAGATAAAATATTTTCTATTAAATCTGATACATTTAAGTAAAACTACATATGCTTTCATCAAAGAGAATGAGCACCATTCTTCAAAGCAGAATCAATTTGCAATTGTGACAGATGATGTTTTTCAAATTCAGCTGCAATTCCACAATGGTACTTTGATGTCTTTGAAGTAACTGACATAAGGAGTGATTCTCTATTTTACACTGTTCTACTTTCAGTTTAGTAGTTCATAATAGGGATACTCCAGAGGGCCCATGCTTCTTGCAGTTTTTATTTTGCAAACTACTTTCATATTAAATAAAAGTCTGCTTTAAAAAGAAAATCTGATCTCACAATGGAAAAGTTTTCTCATTTTTATATAAAAATCTGTTCTTCCCTTGAGACTTAGTGTTTCTGATCCATAACATGTTATGTATATTACATCATTTATCTTAATTGACAAATAGTTCTATTTTATGGAAACATAGATTGCATTTTTTATTTTTTCAAAAAACACCTGAAGACTAAAGAATCAAGCTAAACACTCTAATTTCCTCAGAAATTTCCAGGGAATATCTACTCTAAGATGATTAGAAACCTAAAGGAAAAGAGACAGAAGAAAAATAGACTGGAATCAAATGTGTCCAAGATCTTGAAATATGGCTCTTGACTGAGGTGTGAATACTGCCAGTCCACCCAATAAAAGCGTGGAGACAGGCGTAGCTGTTGCATAGTGATAGCTTTAAAATCTTCAATCTCTGATAGTTGTGGATTCAAAATATTTCTAAATTCCATTATCCATTTACATAACCTTCAGTCAAAAGGTTTAGGATTAAATGCTCATGTCACTGAGAATCTCTATTTTTGTAACTGGCAAAAATCATCCAGTATTTCAGGATCACTAGAAGTAATGAAAAGTTGGTAAAACTGAAATGGTTCTCAGAAAAATAAGGATAGTACAGTAATTTTTTTTTACAAATATAAATATATTTTATTTAAAGAATTATCTTTGAAATATGAAATTGTTCTTTCCTTAAGCCCTTTTTTCTTACAAAATAATTACTATAGTCAATAGTAGGCTATTTATTGTTGTTTTTAACATCCATTCTTGGCAAAATGAAATGTGTTAGTCTTATGTTAGTCCCCATTTGTTGTCTTTGAAACGATACTAAACTGTAAACATCTAGCATGGGAACCAGTACTATTGAAAATATCAATGGGAACTTCAGTGATTTTCCTTTCCATCAAGCCCAGGGCTTAGAGCGAGGCATGCACAACCCACTGCCTTATTTTTTGTTAGAAAGACTAAAGCTTCATAGCAACTTTGAGAAAGCTGGAAAGACAGTTTCTTTAAAGGATAAATTTCCTGGTTTCCAATCTTCAAGGAGCTGGGTTAAAATATCATTGATTGCTGAAATATATATTACAACATAGTACCTCAAAGTAGTATTAACATACCTGTCATGATTTAATTATTTCTTCATCTGAATCCCTCTCACATTGCAGATTTACTCTATTTGCTAAAATTTAATTTAGCATCATTTGGTTATTTTATAAAATATTTCTAAACTCCATTATCCATTTCCATAACCTTCCATCAAAAGATGCAGGATTAAATGCTTGTGTCACTGAGAATCCCTATGTGTATTTGACAAAATTATCCAGTGTTCCAGGGTCTCCAGAAGTAATGAGAAGTTGATACAATTGAAAAATATCCTATGTGATTTGACACAGACTTCAGAAAACAAGGGGTGCCTGTGAGTTGGGTCCTAGGTGAGTTATGGTGCATCTGATGCTCTGTTGTTTTCTTTCTTCTTTCTCCTTTCCAGTGAAATCAGATGAGTTACAGACCATCAAGAAAGAATTAACCCAGATCAAAACTAAAATTGACTCCTTGCTAGGACGCCTGGAGAAGATTGAGAAACAGCAGAAGGCGGAGGCAGGTAAGTGAAAAGGATCCAAGGTCACAGACAGGTGGGAATTAAACCAGTGAAATGTTGTCAATCAGAGAGACAGTATAGGGCCAGGGAGACGCTGGCTGAGTTTAACAGCATTTAATACAGATACGTCAACAATGTCTTAAGCCAAGAATTGCAATGATGAAATGGGATTTTTTTTTTTTGCTTTTAGTGTACATGAACCAATTTTTCTAAGATTCATACTAAAAAGAAAGTAGAAGAAAAAATGTTTTGATGGTATAATCCACAGTAGCTGAGTCATAATTGAAAGTTTATCTCAATATCAAGTAACCTTTCAGAAAATAAAATCAATTAACAGAATAATGCTATCAGGCTAACATAATATTCATATATAATTAGATTAACTACAGCAAAATTTGACAGGTTTCAAAAGTTATTATAATACCAACTCCTGCCTTTGCTACCACCCTGAAAATCTTAAGTACCCAAGTTCAGGAACCTCAAGATTAAGGCATGCCCCTGGATCCCACAGGCCAAATTATTTGATTATATATTTTATCATTTTATACCCTCTGTCCTTTGAATTATCAGCCCTGACCCAGCTCCTTTTTTGTACAAGTCTAATGCTTTTTTCATATGGCTACAGCTATTTTTTGAGTCACAGTATATGAGAACTGGTATAAACTGGTGGTAGGCCACAATTTGAAAAGTTCTGCAAGAGCCTCCTTGGAGTTAAGATGGGGATTAGGAAGATATCCAGTAGGTAGACAGAGTCATACGTCTTCAAAACCCAGCCATTGCTATGACCATTGTAACTTCCCTGTATCTGTTTACGTACTGACATTCGGTATAAAACTTAATTTGCTGGAAGAGTTCCACTTCTTATAAAATAAATAAATACAGTGTGAAAGCCCTTAATAAATCCAACCTCTTCATTTTGCAGATAAGAAAACAAAGGCTCAGGAATGTAAATTGACTTTTCTAAACCTGTACATCTAGTTAGTGATAGACCTGGCTCTCAAACACAGGGCTTGTTACTGAATTCAGTGCCCTTTTACATTTACAGCCTCAATTTCAAGTTTTCCCCAGGGTTCTGTCCCAGGATTTCACTGAAGTGAAGTAAGCCTATCTGGGCAACACGTAAACGATGAGAACTCATGGGAACCTAGGTCCCCTGAGCTAACACACACAGGAGCCTGTCAGTTTGTTGACTCATCGCTGGGGTGAGGGCTGGAGCTTACCTTTGGAGGTAATATAGGGCTCAAGAATGAAAAGAAGCAGATTTGAGGTGGGAGTGTAGCATAATGGATGAGAGAAATAAACTCTGGTTCAAATCATCACATACAACATACACAATTTCCTTATTTGTAAAATGAGGATACTCATGGCTGCCTCACATGGTGAGTAATGAACAAAGTAGCATATATAAATTATATAGCACAGAGTTAAAAATATAATAATTGGAGTTAAGGATTATACAACACACACATGTACAGGCAAATGGGCATTTCCTCCTACTTTCATACAGCCCATTAAAAAACAAACAAACAAACAAAAAGACAAACCATGTACCTCTATGTACCTAGCACATGGTTGACTCATGCTAACACTTGTTAAGGTAGATGAGGAATGATAGACTAAATGGAATTTTTTTAATTAAAAATTTCTATCACAAATGTGTTTTCTATTCAGAAAGGTACACTGCCTACACTTTTTAATAAAAAAATTTATATTTGAGAAAGTTTTTATATGCTATGGCACTAATGTGTTACTGTAACTGAAATATTCTGTGATGTTGCCTAAATCAATATTTCCCTTTGAGGAACTCTGTAAAATTCATTATTATGTAAAACAACCCTTACAGCAAAGGACTTTGATAACCAATTTGCACTTCAGTTTAAAGGATTATGGAGAACTCATTTAAATATAAATCACCTCAAAGAGAAAAATGTGATCCTTATTCCATCATATTATACCTTTCAGTTTCCTACAATGACTAATACCTTCCACATATCTTTTTGGAAGATCATTTAGAAATGTAACACTAAAATTCAAAGCTTGCATCTTCTTTTCGTGAGATGTCACTTACTTTTGTACATGTTTAAACTTTCCAGTCATAAAACTCTTGCTTGTAAAATAATGAACTTAGTTCTTTGATATTTATGTCTTTAACTTTTTATGAAGAAAATGAATTAATTTGATTTGGAACTCCATTCTTTTAGTAATTGTTTCCTGAATAGTGTCTGTATTTGTAGAGATAAAAGATGAACGTTTTCTGTATTTTCCTACATTTTCTTTATAAAAAGAAATCAGGGTTGAATGGATAGAATTAACACTACATTATGGAAAGTGGAGTGAAATGCACTAAAACTCATTAATAAATGCTCAGTGCCTCCTTATTCAATGTAAGGGGACATTCATTATAATGCTTAATTTGTTGAAAACTAATTACTTGGTAGCTACCATTTACTCTTCATTAGTATTCTTGCATAAATTTCTCACTCCTAATTTACTATTAGTTATTTGATAGTGAAGTTTTTCATAAGAGAACTAATGGCAGGAAGGAGATAGAGAATTGGAAAATGTGGAGAATGACACTGAACGTGGGGTATGCCCTGAAGTCAAGTTCCATAGTATCTATTTTTTTATTTTGAAAGTGAACTCCTAATCTTTCAGTAATAATATCAATAAAATATAATTACATTATTTTGGATTTTCTATATCTTAAATTGCTCAAATAGATGTGTGTGGTATCCTGTCATTTGAGATTGTAAAGTTCCTCAGAACAAGATCATGTCTTCTCTTGCCTAACTCTACCCAACACCAAGTATTATGTACTGGGTACAACTTAGGAAGTCATTTAACCCTTTTAGGTCTCAATACTTTCAAATATAAACTAGAGGAATGGATTATGGCCTCTAATGTATATTCCAGCTTCTAAAATTATGATTATTATAAATCCACCATGCATACATTATTTTTTCCACTATATCATACAACTTCTTTGGGGATATGGTGACTATGTAGATTATAGAAAACAACAAGTAACACTTGAATTCAGTTTGGCTACGAATTTTGCCTCATTCTTAGATGATTCTTTTAAAAGAGCCACATATAAGTTGCCACATATGCATAGCACAAGTTATGTGCTTTACACAGTGATATTAAGCGACCAAAAACAGCGAAAGGCACAAGAAGGAAAAGTAAAGACTGCAGATCATGCAATGGGCACAGCTACTCCATGGATAACTACATTTAAAAGAATTACATTTCAAGTATAGACTTTCTGAAGTGAAAAGGCAATTAGACATTATTTAGTTCAATTTTATTCTCACTATTATGCCTGATACATGAGCAGCCAAGTCTGACTGGGACAATTCCAGTGATAACTTTGGGATGTTAGACCTAAGCCTGAGGGAAGTCACAAACAGGAGTCACATGGGATAAATTCATCCTGCCCATATGTTTGGTATAAGACAAGAAATTTTCAAAAATAATGTCCAAACATTGGAATATTGTAAATAAATCTCAAAATATGAGTTCTTTTGAAAACCTTGACCTTTTTAATACTGCTACTCACTCAATCACCCAACATATGACATGCACTTTCAGTTTGCTAGTATCTTTGTCCAGCCAGTTCACATGATTATGTTATCTGCTTGGTCCCATTTATGTTTCAGATGCTTATTGCAGGTTTTCCTTACACTGAGCCAAAATGTATTTTGCTTTCACTTGATTCAGTTATCACTTTTATGTTGTTTGAAAAAGAAACATAATGTCTAATTCCTTGTGACACAAGAGTCAATTAAGTATTTAAAGGAAGCTGCCGGCCATTGTGGCTCACACCTGCAATCCTAGCACTTTGGGTGGCCAGGGCGGGTGGATCGCTTGAGGTCAGGAGTTTGAGATCAGCCTGGCTAACATAAGTAAACCCCATCTCTACTAAAAATACAAAAGTTAGCTGGGTGTGATGCCTGTAATCCCAGCTACTCAGGAGGCTGAGGCAGGAGAATTGTTTGAACCCAGGAGTGGAGGTTGCAGTGAACTGAGATTGTGCCACTATACTTCAACCTGGACAACAGCAAGACTCACACTTTCTTTCTCTCTCTCTCTTGCTCTCTCTCTCTGTGTATATACACACACAGACACACTCACATATGTACATACATATACATTTAAAGGTAGCTATGGTGTTCTCACCCTTCCAAAACCTTTGAACAGAGAATTGATATTATGGCCTATGGATATTCATCTTAACTGCATTCAAATTTTGATCACAGCATCTTAGAGGCCTTTTTGGTCTAGAGAAATATCAATGGTTCCTTCAGTTGCTTCTCATTTAACTTGGTTTTGCATCTTAAACTATTGCAGTCTCTCTTCTCTAGTCATTAATTTGTCAACACAGATTACATTACTCAGAATGGAAAATGTTGCTCCAGATATGACCTGACTGCTGCAGCCTGTAACGTGACTACTATTTCTGTTCTGAATACCTTATTGCTCTCACCGATACTTCAGATTGAATTGGTGATGCTTCTGGTTACAGATGATGAATTTAACACATGAATTAAGCACTGTTCTCTCTTGAAGCTGTGTTAGAAACAAGGATAGGGTTCAGCAGCTGAACAGGAGGTAGATACGCATACCTGACTTAGCACATCCTAGAACCCCAAGTTCAATTTTAATCACAAACTCCCAAAAGGCTCAGAATTCAAGGCATCACATTCCTCTGGAAAAGAGGAAACAAATGGTTGAAAGTCTGTTTAGGAAACAGATTCCTATGTCCCCATACCCAACATTCCTGCTGCACTTTGAAAGAAGGCTGGAGAAGTTTCCTCTAGAGAAGGTAAAACAGTGGGTTACAGGGCTGATAGATGACAAGGAAGCTTGAGAGCACTTAAAAGCAGAGAGGGGGAAAGTTTTCGTAATTACTGTAGAAATGCCCACTTTCTCCCTGACTCAGCTACCAGAGCACTGGCAGGACACTAGAATAATCTTCAGTGGAGAGCATGAGCTGCCCAAGA